CCTTTGGTTAGATTTTGTTGGTTTTGGTTAGTTTGATGAATGGATATCGTGATGCTCCTTGTTTGTTTCTGTTGGTTTCGGTTGATGGAGATTGTGATGTTCATTCTTTGTTTTATTAGTTTCTGTTGATAAATTGCCGGAGCTTGTGATGCTCCATAGTTAATATTTGGCAATGATGATTAGCTTTACTGAGAATGTTGTTGGCCTTTTTGTTTTAATGATGTTTAACAAACAATTTACTACTAATATTATTTGTCTAGTGTTTGTGTTTTCTTATTTATTCTAGGTAAACAATATGTTGTAGGTTGAAGCCTATGCAATTCAAGTTGAAGATCCAAGTTCAAGCTTCATCCGCAAAGTGTACCAAGTTGAGCTACATCGAAGATCAAGATTACTTGGGTAATTTAGTTTTAGGTTTATATTATGTGTGTTAAATACTTTAAACTCAATATCATATATACACACACACATATTTGGTTTATATATATATATATATATATATATATATATATATATATATNACCCCAACACACCAAATTTAGGGTGAACCCGTCGTGGTTTGACCCTTCATCCACTCGTATCAATTTTAACGGTTTCGAATGAATAGAACTTTTTACATGGCTCGACGGAGGGTCAAACCACTACAGGTTCACCCTAAATTTGGTGTGTTGGGGTTTTAGAATAATGTAGCTCAATCAAGTGATCATCAATAACTAAGAAACTTAGTGGACGTCCACTTACATTGACATAAGTTTCTCTCTCTCTCTATACACACACACACACACACAAGTTTTGGTTTTTGATTTTCAAGTGAATTTTGTGAAAATATTATGTTTCTAGTTTATAGACTTAACAATCATAATATACATCTTTTATTAAGTCTATAAAATCATGTTGTAAAGTTTCAAAACATGGTTTAGTCAAAATGACAAAAACAAGTGTCCCACGTTTTTATGTTTTGGACATATTTGCAAAATGATGATATTTTACATTTGAGAGATGCTTTTTGAAAACCAGTTTTTTGTAACATGTTCATTTTTATGGTTACAATCATTCCCCAAGGTTTATATTTTTTAGAATTTATTTGATATTTTTAAATGAGGTTTAAAATTAGTTTTTACTATTCATATCAGGCTAATAAAGTGTTATCAGTCGACTGATGAATGTGTTCAATCGACTAAAGAAATCACCTGAAATGTTAAAAAGTTTCTACTTTATATCCAGTCGACTGATAAGTCGACTGACTAGGTCATCGGTTGACTGACGAGTTCATCAGTTGACTGATGAGGTGTTGTTGGTCTGTAACGGTCAGCTCATCAGTCGACTGATGAATAGTATTAGTCGACTGACGGTCTAACGACTAGTTTTTCCAGCTTTCAATTTTTTGTCTTTTCGCTGGGTTTTGTTAGTTTCTTCTTGGCTTTGGGGTTTCCTATAAATACCCCCACATATCCTCAGTTCATTTTAACAAAGAAGAAAGTTTTGAAATAAGTTTTAAAAGAGTTTAAGTGTTTGTTTAAGTTTGTTTCAAGAGTTTAGTTTGTGAAAAAAATTTCACAAGAAGAAGAGGAGATCACTATTTGTGATTGAGCTTCAACTCTTCTCTCTCCTTCTTGTTATCTATAGAGAAGTTTTTCTAAACTTTATTTCTAGCTATTTATTATTTTATTCATAATTTCCATAAGCTAGAATATTTAATTGAGTTTAGTTTGTTTTGCTTATACTCTTTGTTTACACACATAACCATTAAGCTTAATGTATTTCATACATCGTATAATTTGGGTTGTGGGGAGTGTGACTTAGAGAGTGAGCCTACATTGTGTTCTCATCCATTATAGAGAACAAATTTATTTGTATTGTGAGTCTTTTTGTGAGATCACTTTGTAATACGCTTGTATACCGAGAGAAGTATGTTGTGAGAGACGGGGTCATCCCAAGAGGAGTGGGGTAGGTGGTAATGCCTAGAGGTAGGTTATAATTCCTAAAACGTGAGAAAGATGCGGACTAGAGACCAACACTTAGAAGGTGTAAAGTGTGATTGTAAGAGTGTGAGATTGTAAAGTTTTCGATGAACTAGAAAACCGAGTGTGTAGAGAAGTTTCAGCTTCCAAACCGGGTGTGTCGTGATAGTGGAGATCTCCTCGAGGTGAGGAACTGAGACGTAGGCCATGGGGATCAAACTCTGTGATCATATCGTTTGTTTGCGTTTATCATTGCCGTTCCTTTATATTCGTGCTTATCATTTATATCGCCTTTGTCAATTGTTTGTTGTTTATATTGCCCTATCACTTTAGTAGTTTGTTTACCCTTGTGTTACTTGTATATGTTTGCACATATATTTGTAATATATCATTTTTGTTAAGATATATTTGTTAATAAGTTTTAATTAACATAAATCAAATTAGATTAGCATAAACCTTATTCACTCCCATCTAGGGTGCTTTCAATTAGTATCATTGCACTTCCTAGTGGCATTGGGTACTTTTAAATGCAATCTAACTTACAACGTTTATTATGTTCAGATGAGGCAATATGTGATGATATTACACCCTACATTGAAATGATAATGTCTAGGTGAGGCAATCCATCAATCTGATGTAATCTACAATAAACGTGTAAGTTATAGGTAGGGCATTCAATTTTGACAAAATGACCTATTCGTGAGTCGTACAATATTAACTAGATTTTTAATGATGGTTTACCTAGTTCTAATAAAAAAATTTATTACAATATCAATAGTTTTTACAAGTACATGTACATGACATGTGGTTTATAATAATTAAAATAATACAAAATATCAGTAGTAAAATTGTTGAAATTTTCCTAGCTAGTAGTTATTTTTCGACAAGTTTCAATTCTTTCTTCAACCTCTTTGATTTTAAAAAATACTTATCTCCGATCCTATTTTCTTTGACAAATTGGTTTTCTTGGTTGCTTATTTCTCCTCCTTCATGAGCCCATTCAAAAAAATTGTATTCTTTATTTTGATATTTTGCACACCCCCAATAATACATCCCCTTATTTTTACCATTCTTGCATACTTTCATGGGTGTTTGGAGATTGCAATCGCACCAAACTTCAAAATTTTTAGGACATATTTTTTATATCATATTGATGGAAGGGAGGAAACTTACAAACTATGAGAATTTAAAAAAAGTGATAAGAATGAGAGATACATTGGCACCATGAGCCCTCAATCCAAATTTATAGTCTCCAATGCCTTGGAACTAGGCGTTGCTACAGTGTTTTTTCGGTTTTGAATTATGGTAAACGGGTAAAATTACTCAAACTTCTTACTTAAATATTTTGTCCACTAGTGAGTGGTAAGAATACCTAAGGTGTTCTCACAATTTATCCCAAAATTTTCTCATTCCAAACCAAACTAAAGAATAGGAATTGGAGGGTTTCAATAAAGTTGGATTCTATTTTTTCATGTTATGAAACAAACATAAAAAGAAAAAAAAAGAATTTCATGACAATATAAAATTGTCCTTAATTTTTTTACAGATTAGGTAGGAATCCATTTAAAAAAAAATATCATTTTCCTAATCCTATTCTTGCTTATTATTGAACCAAACACCCCTAAGAGAGCTGAAATCCATTTGAACTTCCACTGAGCCCGAACTTAATGACCTTTCATTTGAGACCTTTGAATACAAAACTATAATGCCACTACTTTCAGGGTTTTTTTTTTTTTTTTTTTTCCGTTTATGATACTTTCCAATTATAAGAAGATACTTTCCACCGGCAAAAGGCAACATGCAATTATACTCGTTAGCACAAAACTCGTAGTAATCTTGTATTATTATTTGTTTACAGTAGGGTTGTACATTATTAGTAGGTGGTGGGCTTACATGTGGGAAAATTGCTTTCCAACTAATCAAGGTTAGTTTACGAAAGCTTGTATACTTTTCGATTAAGAAACACAAACGATGTTTGATTCCTAAAGATTTTTTTTTAAGTGTCACTTAAACCTCAACCTCTTGGGTCTTCCACAAAAAGCTATACACTTTTTTTTTACATGCCCTCTAACGGGGTAATGGGGCTTTCCTGAAACTTTATCCGTGTTTAAGGGTTTTCTCAAAATAATGTTGAAAATTATAGGTTTTGAACTGAAGTTCAGTATTTGAAGTGTAGACCCTTTTTTGGTATGTAACAATAATTTGTAAGGATTGGAAAGACCGACTCACTGAGATGGGTTCGGTTAATCTATGCGGTTGACTAAAAATGATTAATCTTATTTGAATCATAAGTATAAAACATACTTAGCACTAAAATTGATTAATCTTATTTGAATCATAAGCATAAACATACTTAGCATTGTGTCTGCCTTGTGTCTTTCTAGACTAGAAATGAATATGTCTCGTGCCTTTCGAGTAGCCAAACTCACATTTAATCAAATGGACGTGAGGCCCAATTTTACACAGTTCACCATAAAATAGCTCATATTGTTGAGTTAGTAGTACAAAAATAGTATTAGAATTTATAATCTTATTTTCTGCCGCCTACCTAGAAAAGTCGTGGTTTTAGAGGATTAATTTGTTAAGTCTTTAAAACTGAGTTAGGATTGAACTAAGACTAGTTGTCGAATGCACTTTGACTAGCAAAAATTGCATTTCTAATTCAGTTTGTTTACTAGCAAAAACTGCAGTAACTGGTTCACAACTAAACTGATTACAACCAAAACTAGTTCGAGAATAAACCCATTTTAGTTGAGGTACCAAACACATCTACAGAGTCCGAGTCCAATCAAATATTTCAAATAAATTAACGAACATTGCTATTTGGCTCGCGGTCGGACTGCTAGCCAGCAACTCGGCCCACCCCCACTGTTTCCCTCTGCGAGTTGCTGGCTCGCGGTCCAACAGCGAGCCAAAAAACTTTTTCGACCAAGATATGATCTGACGTGGGTCTGCTAGAACTCTGTGGGGCTAATGAATTGCTGTAGCACAAGAAATATATATTGAGCAATTAATGCTAACAAGAAAATTAAATCTACAACACATAACATTAAAACTGCAAAAACTATTGAATAACCGGAGGAGGTCCAACAATTAAAGCATAAATCAGAGAATTCCAAGTATCAGGCAATCCTGGAAGACACCAATGGCTACAATCTGCAAATATCTTGGGTTTCTTCCTCTCTTCAACGGTTAACAGCTTCTGCTGCCTTACGGTGTATATAGCTGTATGTGCTTCTCGCCGATACTCAGATAGCTGTGTGATGTTGAGATATTTAACTGGAGCTTTCATTTTCTCTATAGTTTTCTCTACTATAGATATCATTGTTCTCGAAAATGATTGCTTGTAAGTCTCGTTGGTGATTGGATGACTTTGATTGTAACACCAATGCAAATTATACCTAAAATTGTTCAACATTTTGGTAAAAATAGGTCCTATCATGAAACATTAGGAGTTTAAGAGGAAAGTTCCGAAAAATTACCATAAACTTTCAACTGAGCAGAAAAATAGTTTGTAGTACAAAAACTGTACATTAATTAGTTTTAAGGGCCGCTGGGTTGTTTTTACTAGAAAGTTACTATAGCTATTAGGCTACAGTAACTTTCACGTGTTTAGCCTGTTTAGTTGTGCAAATAGAGTGCTGATGTGGCAGTAAAAAATCCCACTTGGCAGCATTTGACCAATTCTCCCAAAAAAGAAGTGTTTTGGGCGGAACCTACTATAGTTGTCGCATGTCGGGTTCAGTTTGCCAACTGGTTTCCTAGATATAGTAACTTTCATGTGAATTGCATAAAAGAACCAAGCAGGCTACATAACACATGAAAGTTCATGGTACTTTATTGACTTTTATCAGAAAATTAATAGTATGTATTTGTAAATCATAAATAAAAGTTCATGATATTTAATTCAGGGTTAATATTTGGGTAAATTTTACAAAAATCTGAGCAAGTTTTTGATGTTTTTTACTTAACCCTCGATAAGTTTGAAAACGTAGACATGTCTTATGAACATCCGATTGAGTGATAAATACAAAGTACACATACGGTTTATGTTCGGGAGAGATACTGCGAAAGAAGACTCTCGTCTTGTTGGGATTCACCATTCGATCAATCCAACTCGCCCAAGTATTGAGTCCAGTCTCAAATGCCAGGTCCCCATCCATATCCTCAACCATGTTTCCATTATTCTGAAAATAATCCCACCTGCAAAATTCAATTTCAGTCCAACACATATCGGATGCAAATATTGGATTCTTATTGGATATTTGAGTTAAAAACCCACGATTTTGCTCTCCCGTGGTGGGTCCACCAGTGTCCAGTGTTGAAAACCAAGACATCAGCGCTTTGCCATTTCCAAGGCTCCACAAGCTCATTGAGCTTCAATATTTTTGATCCATTCTTCATTTCATGAACTTTGACTATAAACGGACTCCAGAAGAATTCCAGTGTGAAATCATAGTCCTGGCATTATCAATTACATCACCCATAAGTTAATTTTTCTTGAATTAGATTAATAATATACATGTTTAACAATAACTAATTAAGTAAATGAAAACATATGAACATTAAAGGAATCTCAGAAAATATGTGAACGCTAAGATATAAATTATACCAGAGCTCGAAAGATTTTGTAGGTGTCTTCTAACTCGATAAATGACCGCGATGATTGATTGATAAAAGAATAAAGGAGACATGCCATGGATTCCCACTGGTTTCTATTAAGAGAATCACCAACCATTGCAACTCTCTTCCCTCTCAATCTCTCAAGCATATCACTCCCATTAAACCTTCAAAAAAAAATCATTTAAAGCACTACATAAATATTTATTTACTTAAATTAATTACTAAGGTAATTTATCTTCAAAAAAATAACTAAAGTAATTTACTAAGCTAAAGTTTCGTACCTTGGGATTTCACATCCTCTTGGCTTCCACCTCCAATGTTCATAGTCAGAATCTGGCCTCCCATTTTGCTGGCAACTCACTTGCTCACTTAGAAAAGGACATTGATGACCATGATACAATGGATAATTCTTAGGATCATAAACCCACATTCCATCAAAAATATTACATTCCTCTTCTTTTGTTAACGTATCCGATTTCTCACTCACGCTATTATTCAACTTCAGTGCCATCTTCTCTTGTGCAGAAACTATACCAATAGTAGTATTGAGTTGTGGAGATGAAATATTTCGAGGAGATGAGGTGATTTTGAGCTCTCTTATCCCTGTGATAGAAATATTGTAACTATTGATAGATCCTAAGCTCGTAAAGGATGAAAAAATGGAAATGAGATTTTGGCCTTGATCATGGTAAATGTAGAGGAAGATGAAGCCAAAAAAGCTGGCAAATATACAAATAGACCATCTTTGGGTGAAGAATGAGCACTCCATGATTTCTCAACTTTCCTACAAGCCAAGACACTGGTTTTTAATTGTAAAAGTTAGCTAAGGTACTTCAGTTAATACGAAAGCCCCCCTCAATTAGAAGCCTACAATAGTTAATGGGGAGAAAGCCTAAGAGTAAATTTCACAAAAGACCAACAAGTTTGGTTGTTTTTCACCTAGTACGCAAATTTCACTTAACCACTAAACAGATTTTGTCAGAAACCTCTAAAATTAATATCATGTTTTTGTTAGCTTTGAGGTGTCACGTGCAAATCACATGTTGCCAAAACACCAAAACACTCGTACTTTTAGAAAGGCCTTCCACGTCCTCTTTATATATATCAGCCTAAAGTCACTTTCAATCTTCCCTCTCTTCTTTCTATTTGCGTGTTCGCTCTCAAATCGGAGTTCTCAATCCTCAAATTTTGTTTTTGGTGATTTTGACCATCAAAATATTATGATGTTATTGTAAGTAAGGCCGTCATGGGGGTTAGGTGAAAAACTCCTAATATTTTGAGATTTGTCTAGATTTTCTAAACTTAGTAGAGATTTGTCTAGATTTGTCTAGAATCTGCGAAAGAATTGAAGAATAACAGGTTTTGGAGCTCAGGTTTTGTTTTGGTGTTTGGCGGTCAACCGCGGTGCAAGGCCGGTCGACCGAATTCGTGCACAGATCCTGCGTATGAATCAGGACTCTTGGTGGTCGACTGCGAGTGGAGCGACGGTCGACCGCACAACCCTGTAGTCGATTTTATGCCTCGGTCGTTGGATCCGGTCGACCGCACGTGGTGCGACGGTCGACCATGAGTCGGTTTTGGGCCTGTTTTGTTGTTTCCTGTTCTGTTTGGGATTTGAGTTTGGTATAAATGCCAAACACGAATTAGGATTTCTTTGACTTTGATTGGTGATTGTTGGAGGGATATTTGGAGCACAGAAAAAAGGTATTTTCTGAGCTATTGGTTAGGGTTTTGTTTGGAGAGATTAAGAGCTTTGTTGGTGAGATTAGTTGATTAGTTTGAGCGATTTGTAATCTCAGTTTATACTCTTCTTCTCTATTAGTGAAAACCACATCCCCTTCTTGTCCCGTGGACGTAGGCAATTTGTCGAACCACGTTAAACTTTGTATTTGAGTTTATGCCGTTATTTTTGGTTCATTTGGCATTTCTCTCTCGTTCGTTTGTTTGATTTGGTTTTTCAAAGCATGTCGTCGGTTTGGTTTTGGTTTCTGTCGCGCACAACAAGTGTTATCAGAGTTCCAGGTTCCAGATCTAGAGTTTTGTCTTGGTTGGAGGAGTAGATCGTTTTGGAAGTTCGTCTAGAGCTTCGTTTGGTGATAAAGGTGGGATTTTTCCTATTTGTGGATCTCATTTCCATCCTGCAGGGTGAGATCATTCGGAGGCTATTGTTAGGGTTTCAATTGGAGGTAAAAATTCTATCTTTATCAGTTTGGATCTATTCTTCGTTCTTAGGCTATTTGGAGGAGTAGATCACTTTGAAAGTTCGGCTAGGACTTCGTTTGGAGATAAATGTGGGATCTTTTTTGGTTAAAATTCTATTTTTATCAGTTTGGATCTATTATTCGTTTGTTCTGCATTTGTTTTGTTGGTGTTTTGAGAAAGATGGTCGAGAAAGAAGGATTTGAGGCTAGGTTATGTGATTGTTGATACGGTGCATTGGATTATTGAGGAGTGCTTTGACCTGCAAATTAAAGTCCTATGAGCAAATTGGTATGAGCAAGAAGACCGAGGTGGAGTTTGACACTTCTATCCATCGATCAAGGGGTTTTTTTAGGTGGTGTTCATTTAGGTATTTGGGGGTCTTCCAAGGAGGCATCATTGGGAGGTATTTGATATTTGGTTTCCTTTGTTGGTGGTTGTTCTAGGCATGCTTGGGTTGTAACCAAATTCCGATTGGATAAAATCCTAATAGTCTCCAGCAGTTTGAAGAAGTGTATTGGCAGAAAGGTGAACGTACTTCATTCTGATTTTAGAGGGAGGTACAAGAGGGACATATTTCTGTGTTTGTGTCGAGCTCACGATAATTTGAGACACTTCATTGGAGAGGAAACATTAAGGCGACGAGATGAGATGACATTTTTTGATTGGTCGTTTCTTTCTGGAGGAGGATCGGCTTTGATGTCGAGCATTGGTTTTGGTGTTTGGTCTTCAACATATTTGGGTTATCTTAGTCATATGTTGCCAACTGTTGTGCTTAGTGATTTTGGATCTGATGGAGCTGCTTCAGATTTTGGGTTGTGTCGGATGTTTGGTTGCCCAGTATTTGGTCACATCGAGGATGTGAGATTTGATCTGATTACACGTTTGAGATTCAGAGTCTCGCTTGGTTATCAGTTAGGAGACTTCTGATTTTGTTCTGAATAGGTATGTCACTTTTGACTCTCGGCAGGTAGAGAGTGTTGATCAGATCGTTTGGATATCGCAGCAGGTGGAGGGTGATGCTACTCCATGTTGGGTGTGGTTTACTCCACATACTCAAGATCATACTTTATCGTTTGGGATTCCAGCTGAGGTGACACAGATTGGGGATCATTTGGATTTGGATGAGTTGGTTGATTCGAGTGCAGCTAGTGGATATAGTTCTCATTTGGATACGGTCATTGGTTCACCTCAGATGGAGGTATTTGATTTATTTCACTTTGGGGCCATTGGGAGAGCTATCAGCCGCAGATTTGTTGATGAAGAGTTGCGACTCTTCTAGTTGATTGAGGGCCTTTGGATGCTGTTGGGAAACTACGTGAAGGCATGATTCCTTGGGCAAGGGGATACGTAGGCAGTCATTTTATGATGCACCCGATTTGATGGGTAGATACTGACGTTTGGAGAGTGTTCGCATTCTCATTTGGGTCTCGACTTGTTGTGGATTAAGTCTGTTGTTGTGATTTCATTTCATTTCGTACTGGACGCAATAAGTGAGACATTTGTTTTGGTTGGTGTCGGCTCAGTTTTGGGAAAACTTCGTCGAGGTGAAGAATTGTAGAATCGACGAAAGAATTAAAGAAGAACAAGTTTTGGAGCTCAGGTTCTGTTTTGGTGTTTGGCGGTTGACCGCGGTGCAAAGCCGATCGACTGAATTCGTGCACAGATCCTGCGTATGAATCAGGACTCTTGGCGGTCGACCGCGAGTGGCGCGGCGGTCG